TCAATGTTCTCCCAAAGTCCCCATGCTCCCCGTCTTTTTCTACTTCCCATGTAGATTAGATCCATGTATGTCTCTCTTGGAGTCCTCATTGCTGTCTAGGTTATCTGGGATTGTGACTTGTGGGCTGGTTTTCTTTGCTTTATGTTTAAAATCTACTTACGAGTGAGTACATGTGATAATTGTATTTCTGGGTCTGTTCATGGTTTTGTGCTTAGAAACTCTGCTTCTGCTCCTGCCCGGGGCTTCCAGGAGAAACAAGAGTCCTTGTTCTACAGCCCTGATGGATCAGCGACCACACTTGTGTGGATATTTATTAAAGGCTTTGCTGTTCCATGGGCTCATCTCTTTCATGTTTCCTTGTGGTGCCTAATGGACATGGTGATGTCTATGTTCTTGGACTAGTATCACACAACACCCTGAAGGGTTAGCAAAAAATGAGTATTTGTGTGTGTGCACGCATGCTTGTGCACATACGCATGGAGCCTAGAGAGAGGTCAACTTTGAGTATTTCTCAGGAGCTGCCTACCTTGTTTTGGTTTTGAGAGAGGGTCTGATACTGGTACCCAGGGATCACTTGTAGCCTGGCTGGCCAGTAAGACTCAGGAGCATTCTTATTTCTGCCTCCCCTCATATCGGGTTACAAGCCCACAGCTACACCTGGCTTTTTACATGAGTGCTAGGGGTAGAGGTCAAACTCTGGTTTTCACAATTATGTGGAAAGCACTTTATTGACTGAATCATCTCTACAGCCTACATAGAGTCTATAGACTTTTTACCCTTTATTTTGGGACCTGTGCCATGTTTTCTGTGCAGTCGTCTGGAGCACTTAGCTTGGGTCCTGGTCACCTATGGCCACATGGCCCTCCATGTTGTTCAGTCTCTTCATGGCCCGTCAAGCTCATCTCTTCATCTGAAGGACAGAGATTTAACCAATCCTCAAGCAATTCCAAGTTCAGGTGAAACATCCCATGAGAAAATGGTTGGTATGAGTCTTGGTCCTGCTATCATCATCTCTAGGAAGCCACCAGTCTTGTGAGGATGTCTTAGGGGTTTTACTGCTGTGAAGAGACATCATGGCCACACCAACTCTTATAAAGGAAAACATTTAATTGGAGCTGGCTTACAGTTAAGAGGTTTAGTCCATTGTCATCATGACAGGAAGCATGGTGGCATGCAGGCAGACAGGGTGCTGGAGAGGTAGCTGAGAGTTCTACATCTTGATCTGCAGGCAGCAGGAAGTGAACTGGCTTGAGCTCCTGAAATCTCAAAGTCCTTCCCCCCCTCCACCCCTCCCCAGTGACACACCTCCTCCAACAAAGTCACACCTTCTCCAACAAGGCCAAAACTCCTCATAGTGACACTCCCTATGGACCTTTGTGGGTCAGTCTTATTCATGCTGCCACAGAGGGCATGACCCCTTTAAGCCCCATTGCATCTCACAGACAAGAACAATGTCTAGACAGGCCAGCTCATCCCTTCTTCAGGATCACTACAGAAAGTGTTTTAGGCCTCCTAATCTGACCCTTACAGGCCACAAAACTTGATCCCATACTATAAAGATAGGAGCTTGAAATAATATGTTTGAGTTTGCCACCAGATAGCTTTGATAAGACCCAGGCCTCATAAGCAAGCCTGTAGTAATACGGGCGGCGGGGCTGCGTTCCCAACACCCCAGCGGCCTGGCTAGCTTATGCCCGAAATAACAACACACAAACTGTATTTAATCATTGCTTGGCCCATTTCTATCTAGCCTCTTCTAGGCTAATTCTCACATATTAATTCAGCCCATTTCTAATCATCTATGTTGCGCCCCTAGGTGCGCTTACCGGGAAGATTCTAGCCTATGTCAATCCTGGGTCAGAGCTTCATGGCGTGCGTCTGCCTGGGAGCTGGGAGCTGGGAGCATGGCGTCTCTCTGAGGCGTCTGCTCCCGAGAGGAAAGCTGTGGAGTCTGAGCTGACTTCGTCTTCCTCCCAGCGTTCTGTTCTGTTTACTCCTCCCACCTATCTTCTAACCAATGAGGGCCAAGCAGTTTCTTTTTATTTAACCAATGACCTTCCTCCATCATTTCCCCTTTTTCAGTTTAAACAAAAAAAAGGCTTCAACTTTAACATAGCAAAATTACATATAACAAAACAGTTATCAAATAAAAGTTACAATAATCTTTATCATAACTAAGGAAAACTATAACTATAACTAACTATTCTTAACTCCGTCAAAGACTCCAGAAAGATAGAATACTACCTAAGCAAACAAGAAAAAAGCAACTTTTAAAACTCTAGAAATGACAGAGACATCTCACTGCCTGGACAGTCACCCAAAGTTCCTCTGTACCGTTGGGGCATCCATCTTTAGCCTTCAGGCCCATGCTATCCAGCAGACATTTCCATAAAGCAGGAAAATTCAAAGTCAGTTCAGTCACTATCTGTTGTGTCCTGCAGAATGTCTCGCAGACTCTTTCATGAATCAGGAACCCCGAAAGATCATCTCACCTTAGGCAAGTTCAGTAGTCCTCTCTCTGTGGGTTCTCTGTGTCCAGTTTATGCAATAGTCCAGGCAAGAGCAGTTTCTTGCCCAAATGGCTATCAAACTCCATAACGAGCCTCTTCGATGCCCATTTTCCTCTTGAAGTAGATTGGTGCTGCCAGGAGTAGAGTGTCTCATTGTCATGAAAAGTCCTAAGTTATTAAAACATTTAAAATGCCATATTCTATAATCTTTGAAAAATATGAAGAATGCCTATCTAAAATATATCAACGCACATCTAGAAAATATTAAGTAACATGACTACAAACTTGACTATTATTTATGATTATCCATCAACAACCTATATTTCCTGATTATACATTACATTTTAATAATGAACTACACAATCACAATACCTTAATCAATATCAGAAACACATATACATATAACAAAATTGACCTTAAATCTCTATCAATAAAGCAAAATCTATACTAATGCAAATTATTCATACCTATATCATATCCCCCTTTAAATGTAAAAGAACATTTATAAACATTTTTTGGGAATATGGGCACAGTTATTTCTCTCCAAACTGCTTCCTGCTGAATGGGGGCATCGTTAATTAGGTCTTTCATGGTATAACCTGTGTGCTAGTTTCATCTCAGTTGGGAGTTGAGCGAAGCAATTTTCTGAAGGTGTTCACACCAACCCTTCAGGAGGGCGTGGTCCATCATACCAAATCAGAACAGAAGAAATGAACAGGGTCTCATCCTCTGTGAAAACAAAATAAGAAACTCCTTTCCAAAGCATCATGTCCTTAGATCCAAATTTCAAAGTCAAGGCATTTTCAAAGTATCTATGTTGGATTAGTTCAGCAGCATTTATAAACAAATATCTTTTAGCAGCTGTTGCTCTTTTCTCAGCATTCAAATAATTCAAAGAGAGCATAATAGCATACAGTATCAAAATTCTCTGTGTATTTTCCATCTTTGTGCGCTTTATTTTAACCTCTATTTTGTTTATTTTTACTTTTATTTTTTTGCTTTTTGAGACAGGTTCTCTGTATCTTTGACCTGGAATAACTCTGTAGACCAGGCTGTCCTTAAACTCTCAGAGATCTGCCTGTCTCTGCCTCCCAGGCATTGGGATTAAAGGTGTACGCTACTACACCTTGAACTCACAGAGATCTGTTTGTCTCTGCCTTCTAGGCACTGGGATTAAAGGCATGTGCTACCACACCTTGAAGTCACAGAGGTCAATCTCCCTCTGCCTCCCAAGTGTTGGGATTAAAGGTGTGTACTACCACACACAACAACTCTCTTCCTTTTTTTTGTGTTTTACTTTAAGAACTTCAACTTTTAGTCTGTATATATTTTTAACACGCTGTAAATCATTTAAAATTTTTGTTTGTCTTTGACGCTCTCTTTACTGTATCTCTCTCTGTTTTCCTGACCACATGAGTCTTTAATTTACCAAGCAATCTCAGTAGGACTAAAGCCTTGGCTTTGCCAGCTAGATCCAGTCCATTCCTCAGCTTTCCAGCCTCATGGCTGAGGTACTGGCTGTAGCCATGTTTACTGCCACAAATCTATGGCATTTCAAGGTCCCTGCCAGCAAGCGAGCTTCAGTAGCCTGTCCTTGCAAACCGCACAAACCGCCTGCGTAAAAGAGTCAGAGTTTGCCCTGGCAGGACAGCCCAGAAAGCCGGCATTTTTAAATGGCGCAGCTTTTTTCCTGCTATGGCTGAAAACCAAAAAGCATGCGTTCAGCTTTTCATCAACACTGTTTAAGTGTTTCGTGGCAGGACCTCTTAAAAGAGCTGCAATCTTTGCAGCTAAAGCTGAGTCAGGAAGTCTCTCTTAGATGAGAGCCTCTAACAAGCATAGCAGACCCGAGAACACAGCGAGTCTAGTTGCCATCAAAAAAATTGTAGCACTTTACTCCAAATGCTCTATTCAAAAGCTCTGTCTCCCGCAGGAGTCAGACAGAGATCGCAATGGCGGCACAGCCCCAGGAAGTCGCGCTTTAAAATGACACAGCGTTTTTTCTGCTACTGTTGCCGAATCAGGAAATCTCTCTACAGCACGCCACCAACAAACAGCAAAAATCTGTGTTAAACTCTCTCTCCCTTATTTTTAAGCCTTCTCAGGTTTTTTAAGTGGGTTTAGTCCATCACGTCGGGCGCCATTTGTAGTAAATAAGAGTGGCGGGGCTGCGTCCCCAGCACTCCGGCTGCCCACATGGCTAGCTTATGCCGATATAACAACACACAAACTGTATTTAATCATTGCTTGGCCCATTTCTATCTAGCCTCTTCTAGGCTAATTCTCACATATTAATTTAGCCCATTTCTAATCATCTATGTTGCGCCCCTAGGTGCGCTTACCGGGAAGATTCTAGCCTATGTCAATCCTGGGTCAGAGCTTCATGGCGTGCGTCTGCCTGGGAGCTGGGAGCTGGGAGCATGGCATCTCTCTGAGGCGTCTGCTCCCGAGAGGAGAGCTGTGGAGTCTGAGCTGACTTCGTCTTCCTCCCAGCGTTCTGTTCTGTTTACTCCTCCCACCTATCTTCTAACCAATGAGGGCCAAGCAGTTTCTTTTTATTTAACCAATGACCTTCCTCCATCACAAGCCCCCTGGCAGTCCACATACAAGCCTAATTCAGGACAGGTCGTGATATGCTAATGAGCTAACCCCAAGGTGGGGATGGTATGCCAATGACCCCTTAGTCCAAAGCGGCTACCCAGTGAAATGACACAAAAATCAGAAGTCTGGAAATGGTCTCTAGGATCGCACTGTTCCTGTAAGAGGCTTCTATAGTTAGTGTTGACACCAAGAGGACTCCAGACTCTCTTTGTGGTCCTGGCCTCAGTGACCACTGATGCTTGGCCCCTCAAGCCTGCCTGTTAGTGCTGGCCATCGGCTTACGCTCTCAAGGATCTCCTGGACTTTGACTGGTGCCATCCTTTGTCTATCACAAGTGAAGGACGGGACGGCACAGTGGGCAGTGGTCAAGCACGCACGCTTCAGAAATGTATTCACTGGAGATTCCTCAGTGGAACCTGCAGCAGCATTTCTGCCCAAACAACTGGTCCCAGCTTGGTGAGACGTCTGGGTTTTTGTCTTTCTTTTCTTTTTTGAGACAGGTTTCCTCAATAGGCAGACCAAATTGGCCTTGAACTCCCAGAGATCCACCTGCTTCTGCCTTAACTTAGATATTGTTAGGAATGTTTGTGTGAACAAACCAAGCATATTTGAAAGACAAACTTTGTGTGGACATCCTAGTTGCCAAGTGCCTTAAAGTCATAAGCTCATGCTCTCTGAAAAACCTTAAAAGTGGTCTATTCAGAAAAACAAAAACAAAGGGACTTATTAGGAGACCTGAAAGAGAAATGGACAGTTGAAATAATTTTCTATGTTTTAAATATGTCCAGCAACTGGTTGGCCACTCAGGGTGTCGACAGATTAATACACAGATACAAGTTTTGACATTAAAGTATTTTTCTTAAAAAGTTAAAAAAATTAAGACTTGCACATACTCAAATTATTTTTGGGGGGTGGTGTGGAGGTTGAGACAGGGTTTTTCTGTGTAGGCCTGACTGTCCTAGAACTCTCTCCGCAGAGCAGGCTGGCCTTGAACTCAGAGACCTAACTGCCTCTGCCTCCTGAGTGCTGGGATTAAAGTTGTGCACCACCACACAAGTTAAGCTTTCAACTTAAAAATCTTATCTACACAAATTTACAAGATTTATAAATAGTTTTCAAGGAAACTGAATTACATTTACCAAACTATCTTCAGAGACAAAATACTCTCTAAGCTAGCTGACTTGAAAAATCAAGTCAAATCTCAGACTTGTACATAACAGGAGACACAACAGAATGGATCTTTGTCCAAAGGATACAATGACAATTTTGGCAAGTAACACTTTGATGGCAATACACAGATGAATCCAACAGTCTGCGAAAAAGCGCAGTGAGCTGCACATCGTAAGTAGGGACGGAATGCAGTACCATAAACTCATCAAGGGCAAAGGCCCCCTGCCCTCACACCCCAGACGGCTGATAGGTGGCATTACACTGGGGTGTGTGTGGGGTGCAGATGCAATGTACAAACCCATACAAGATGCCCCTGGGCAGGCCTTACACAAGACCACGAATGAGCATACCCTCCAAGGAACGGACTAGATGTTGTTAGCTGCCTCTGGCCATCCGTAAATGAACTGAGGTCCCAAGGCCTCAACAGTAATTGTATTAACCAGGCTCACCCCAGACAATTGGCCAGACTGTCCAGGCAGCTTGACCTGGGTCCGGAGAGGCCCTAGCACATGCAGTGACATCAGGGAATGCCCTCCTTGCGTTGGCAGCACTGGGAGGGTGGTGCTGACCAATCATAGACATAGGAGAGGCGCAATTGCACCTCTTGCTTGCACAATCGGCCCTCATGAAGCAGCATCTGTTGCTTCTCCAGCATGTCCTCCGGGCTCTGTTTGTGTGTCACCAGGTACTGATTGCTGCAGCCCCGTGATTTGTACTCTGTGTCGAAGCGCGGGTCGTGTTCCCGCTGCACATCCACGGGTGCCAGCCAAGCACCCAGCGATACATCTTCACTGTGCCATGCACGCAGGTATTCCCGGCTGAGGCGCAGGTAATGCACCAGGTCCGATGACAGGATGTACCCACCGCCCAGAGCATAGGGCAGGTAGTAGTCGCAGAGTTGCCAGGCAGCTTCTCGCCAGCGACCTCCGGGCTTGACTCGCCCGCGCCCAGAAAAGAAGCCCCAGTAGAGGCGACGGCGGCGTGCAGGCTCACGTGCGCGTAGCTCTGCCAGTAGGGCGTCCAGGCGCGCAAAGGAGTCGTCATCCGCCTTGAGCACGAACTCGAAGTCTACGTGCTCGTCCAGCCAAGTCAACATGGCCAGGACCTTGGCCGTGAGGTTCTCGTAGGCGTCGCGCAGGGAGGGCAGCAGCAACAGGTCCCCGTGCTGTGCTTGCTCGAGCTCCAGCGTGCGCCGCTCCTCTGAGCCCAGGCCGCTGGTGCCCACAGCAAAGCGCGCCCACACGTCCTTGGGGCCGCCGCGCCTCCCCTGTGCCAGCCACGTGCTGCGCACGGCGCTGCGACGCTCCACAGCGCGGGGCGCACTAGCCACTAGCACCGCCAGGAAGGCCTTAGCGCGGGGCTGAGCGGCTCCGGCGGCTGCGGGCGTCTCGCCCTCGGATGCACAGCGCGCCAAATACAACAGCGTGGTGCTGCAAAACGCCAGGCCGCTCAGGGCCAGCACCACCCGGTGCCGCCAAGCCCGCCGGAGTACCTTCATGGTGCGGGCGGGAGGTCGCCGAGTGCGCAAGCGCGGAGGCTGGAAGGCGCCTGCGCTACTCGGAGACCCGCGTAGCGGGCTCGCCCTGGTAGCGGTAGGAGGAGCCCCGAGAAACCCGCTTACTGGGTGCCTGAATCTGACAGCCGGGGCGGCGTGGAAGGCGAGGCCTGGGTCAAGGATGCGTGGCACGTGACTTCGCGCGCCAGCTTTATTGGTTGGTTCTCGGAGGCTGCTTCCGCCCATGATAAAGATGGCGCCTTCAAGATTCGCTCCAGAGGCCGTGCCCGCTCTCACGGTTCCCGGTTGTCTTACTCGCCCCTTCCCGGAAGAAAGATGGCGGCGGCCTGAGTCTAGGTCCGCGTAAGACTTTGCGGGCGCCCAGCTGCGCTCCCTAGACCCGGCGCTCCAGAAAGCCGGGGGTGAGTGAGGGGTCCCTGAAGCTGCTTTGTGAGGGGCGGGCTTGGAAGGTCACGCGTCCATCGTTCGGGTCGCTTTGGGTCTGATCCCGATTGACCCCGCCGTCGCCCTGTTATGAGTGGCCCGCTCTCTTGCCCGGCTGCTTATTCCGGAACTCACGGAGCCGCGGGGGACTGAGGCTCGGGCTGTGTTACCGGCTGGCGTTGTGACCTCAACTTGTGTTCCAGCATCTCTATCCCGGTTTTGTCTTCGGTAAAATGTGCGCCATGAGTTCTAGTTCTACGAGTTGGAAATTGAAGGCCTGTGCTAAAACCTTCATACCTGGCCCGGCTTTGGTGGTAGCTCTGTTTGGTACTATTGAGTGCAGTTCCTAAATTGACAGAGCTTTTATTTATTTTTATTTACATCCTTATTTTGTGTTGCTGGAGGAGATCGAATCCAGGACCTTACAAATGCGGGGCAAATACTCTACTAACTGGGCCAAGACACCAGTCCTCCAACAGCCTTTGGACGGTTTTAGATTATGTAGCTGTTTTTTAGATTGTGATGGTTTTTTTTCTTTTGATTTTTTTTTTCCTTTTTGCTGTTGTTATTGTGAGTTTTGAGACAGGGTCTCACATAGCTCAGATTGGCTGGAATTTAGCTGAGGCTGCTGGCCTTGAACTCTGATCCTCTTGCCTGTAATCCCAATGGGCAGGAAGTTTGCACAACACTTTGAAGTCCAGCCTGCTCTACTTGGCAAGTTCCTAGCCAAACAAGGCTCAATAGTGAGACCCTGTCCCAAACAAAAACAAAAGCAAGCAAACAACAACAACAACAAAAAATGCCTGGTTTCATCAGAGTTGTAATTGTAAGGATGGCAAAGAAGTACAAATATTCCCCCAACCACTCTGTGGGTTCCTGAAATCGGAAAGTCAGGTTTATAGTTACAGCAACATTTAACTTATAAATTAGGCCCAGACAGAGATTAACAGCTAATCATAAAATAGAACAGTTGTGACTTATTTTGATATATGTGTCACTGGACTGCTGTTGATGCCAGGTCAGGAGGTACCATTGTCACCTCTGAAGGTCTTAGTAACTTCTCTGTTGACCACTTGCTGAGAGCTGATTTGTATAGGGGCTATGACAAGATGAAGCTCCTTGAAATCCTGACTTAGGGATTTCAGGTTAGGTGGGGAGGAAGAGAGCAGCTGCCCAACTTGCTTAGCTATACTGCAAACTTTTGCATTAAGATAAATAACCATTGTGGGGTAGTAGTGGGGACTCTTGCCTAGCATGGGCAAGGAAAAAACTGAACCAGTATGAGGAAGTAAGTTGATGGAGTCCTGGTTGTTTTGGGTTGCTTTTTATGTATGATATATAAGTGACTGTTCCACATAGTTTATCAGAATAGTTAGAATTGAGAACTTTGTTCTTCAAGGAGCAAAGTATAATTAACACCCGGGGAAGTTGCGTTGGTTCTAGTGTTTCCATGGCCAGAAGAGTAGAGACATCAGGAATAGAACCATATCTCGGGGCTCCTTGCCTTGGGTGACAACAGTCTCCTTTAGCTCCTGGCTCTTGGTAGGCTGTACTTCCCAGGGCACATCTTAAGTACTGTTCCAGTGGATTTACTCTATGCTTTTGAGTAATATTTAGTGTCTCTGAAGACAACATTGATTGAATGTCTTTTAGGTTCTAATAGCTTGGCAGTGTTGGGAAAAAGAAGCTAAGTCTGACAAGGTCCTTTCCAGGGGCAGAACAGGAGACAGCTACCGCACATAGGTGGGACCAGGCTGCACCTGGAAGGCCAGCAAATTGGCAGGAAGATAGACTGGGAAGAAGTAAATGCGTTTTCCACGTTCTGGTCAAATAAGACTTCACGGGCATTTCAGCTTTCCTAGCGTTTCCTAAGTGATACATGTTGATGGAGGCACACGTGTGAATGTATGTGTGTAGTCTCTGTTGGGTTGGTGCAGGTGTTTGCTGATGACTGGTTTTCAGTTATTCAGCACACAGTGTGTGTCCCCACTCCACACAAAACACTGAGGTGGAAAGTAGGGGGCGATTAGTAAGAAACAGACACACAGAGGTCAGAAGACTTAGCCAAGCTCTGGAGAGTGCGTGACCACAGCTATCTACTAAACATTGTAATAGTAACCAGGGAGGGAGGGGGTCAGTTTTGCCTTGCTGTGTTGTTGGCAGGTTGTACTGTTGATATGTAGAGGTGGCATACTGACTAGATCAGCATCTGGAAGTGGTGACAACTGAGTTGGGACTTCAGCCTGGCCAAGTGCCTTCCTCTGCTGCTGAATATTTGTTTAATTATGTAAAGATGTGTTGCTGTTTTACCTTGCCTGCCTAAGGCACTTGATTGGTCTAATAAAAAACGGAATGGCCAATAGCAAGGGAGGAAGTATAGGTGGAACTTCCAGGCAGGGAGATGAAGTAGGAGGAGGAATTTAGGATCCAGGAGAAAGAAAGACAACAGGGAGATGCCAGGGGTCAGAGGAAGCAGCAAAGTGGGACATACAGAATTAAAGAAAGGTAAAAAGCCCTGAGCCAACATATAGATGAATAGAGACAAGTTAAACTAAGTTAAAAAGGGCTGGTGGGAGAAGCCTATGCTAAGGCTGAGCATTCTTAATTGATAATAAGTCTCTCTGTCTTTATTTGGGAGCTGGTTGGTGGCCCAAAGAACATTCCTGTTACATCCCTCCAGTTTCTTTTTAAAAAGTAAAAAATACCACCTGTTGCCTTTCTTTTTTCCTTTTTCCCTCTTCATCTTTTTCTGTGGTGCTGGGGATCAACCCCCAGGACTGAGCTACCAATACCAGCTCCATATGCATGAATTTTTGAAGCAGAATCTTTCTGTTTATCCATGGCCAGCTCAGAGCACTGTAGGCCAGACTGGCCTTGAACTCATAAAGTTCCGCCTGTGACTGTCTCCTGTGTTCTGGGATTAAAGGTGAATGCCATCATATCCTGCTTGAATATGTGGTTGATCCTGATTATTAAATCATGTTATAAAATAAATATGTTCTTTCTCTGTGTAGCATATTTTCTCTGTGTAGCCCTGGCTGTCCTGAAACTTGATCTGTAAACCAGGCCGACCTCAAACTCATAGAGTCACCAGGTGCTGGGATGCGCCATCATCACCTGGCCTGGTTTGTCTTTGTCAGGTTGAGCCTGCCCTCAGCCTTCGGCTTTCTTGGCAGTGCTAGTAACCCAGAACTTTCGCACCCCAGGCTCTAGTTTGATCTGTGGTTTCCCTTTCTTCCTTACTGCTACTTCTGGTTCACACCTTGCAGGAGTCGCATGGTCTGACTGGTGGCGATGACGTCCAGGCAGAGTTCCCTCTGTGGTCTGGCTGTTCATGGCCTCTGGCTCTTGGGCCTTGTCCTCCTGATGGATGCAGCTGCCAGACCAGCCAACCACTCATCCACCCGGGAAAGAGCGACCAACAGGGAGGAAAACGAGATCCTACCCCCAGACCATTTGAACGGGGTGAAACTGGAGATGGACGGACATCTGAACAGGGACTTCCACCAGGAAGTTTTCCTGGGGAAGGACATGGATGGCTTTGATGAGGACTCGGAGCCAAGAAGAAGCCGGAGGAAGCTGATGGTCATCTTTTCCAAGTAGGTGTCTCATGAGTCCCCTATGAGTGTGTGTTGAAGAACACAGCATTTGAGATGATAATCCCTTTGTCATAAGCTGGTCCTCTAGCACAGTGGTTCTCAACGTGTGGGTCACCGCCCCTTTGGGATCCAGTGGCGCTTTCACGAGGGTTGCCTCAGACCATTGGAAAATACAGATATTGATATTATGATTCTAACAGTAACAAAATTACAATTGTGAGATAACAACAAAAGTAATTTCATGGTTGGTGCTCACCACAACATGAGGAACTGTGTTGAAAGCTCACAGAATTAGGAAGGTTGAGAACCACTGCTTTGTCTAGCACCTTGTACTTTGATGGACTTGTAGGGCCAACACTGATGTTTAGGTCCTCATGGCCAGAAAGACCTCAGGACAGGTAGACCTCTGCCCCCACTCCCCCTCTCATGGATTCTGTGCATTACTGTTCCAACTATAGGTTTATCAATTGAAAAACATAAAGTCAGGCCAAGTGGAAAGTGGAGTGGTCTCAGCAGGTTATAATAGTTCAAGGTAGAGTAGGGATGGCCCTGGGCTGTCAGGAAAAAGATCTGACAAACCTATAATAGGTCAAGAGCTGATGAGGGGAGGAGGACACAGGCTCTTGTGCCTTTCCTCCCTTCCTGCCTCCCTCTCTCCTCCCTTTCTTTTTTCTGAGATAAAACCTTACTGTGTATCCCTGGCTAGCCTTGGACTCACAAGTGATCCTCTTGCTTCTGTGTGCTTGCTTGCTTGCTTTGTGTGTGTGTGTTTTAAGACAGGATCTCTATTATGTAGCCCTGACTATCCTGGAGCTCACTGTGTAGACCAGGCTGGCCTCTGCCTCCCAAACCCTGGGACTAAAGATATACACCACACCATCACATCTGCTTTATCTCTGCTTTCTCAGGGCTAGGAGAAAGGTTTCTGCAACCGTGCCTGCCTTTTACCTGATGGGCAGAGATATTGGGCACTTAAAAGAAATCGCACACTGGCTCAGAACTGGGAGATAGACAGTTATTTATTTAGGGGGAAATCTTACAAAACCAGGATTCTCTGCTTGAAGGCAGATGAAGATGAGATCCAAAACAACCTGAACTAGCCAAGTGGGAACCAGGGGGACAAGAGACAGGATGGATGGACGTGTTTCCATATCCGGGTAAATAGTCTATGAGGCCACGCCTCAGTACACGGGTAGTTACTAGCTGTAAACCTTCCCGCAGCACCTCCCCCTTTTGTTTAACTAAGAGAGTTCTAAACCTAATACAAAATTATATACAATAAGAACAAATATCCTATTCTAACTAGCTTAAGTCTTGTATAATAACTTGGCCAAGTCATGAGAGGAAAGTAACTACACTTACTTAGTTTTCAACCTCATCAAAGATCCAAGAAGGGAAATAATGTTACCTGAGTGATTAGGAAGTGCAGTTAAGCAACTTCCAAAACATGCAACAAATCACAGAGACAACTGGCTACCTGGGCAATTACCCAAAGTCTCATTTGCAACATTGAGGCAACCAACTTTGGCTAAGGCCTAGAATAACTGACAGACTATTTTCAAAGGCAAGAAAATTTTCAAAACCATCTTACCCTGTCTTGGCAAGATTTGACAGTCCTGCTTATCCATTTCCGGATACTATGTATTTTGTCAGTGGTTGAGGTATGGGCAGTTCCTTGCCCAAAGGCCAGTTTTGCCAAGAAGAAGACAAGCTCCAAGTGGAGTGTCTTCGGTGCTCAACATTCTCTTGGAAATAGATTGGTGTTGCCAGGAGCGATTGTGTCTCACTTCAACAGAACTCTTAAGTTATTTAAATGTCATTTTCTACAGCTCTTTGAAGAGGTTGAAGATTATCCATACAGAATATTATCTCTATATATCTAAAGAACCTGATAAGTCTAACTATAAGTATGACAAACATAGATGACTATTGATCTATTCAATTCTTAATACCTATTTAACTTAAAGACTTAGACAATAAACAACTGTGCAATAAATGAGGACAATGACCTCCAAATGTAAACAGTGTATAAGTATCTTGATCAGAGGTAGAAATGTACACTGAAATATGGTAAATCGCAGCATTTACCTCCTACTTTTCTTACTGAGTTTTGCATTTACTTATTTTTTGAAGATGGATGACAATTTTATTAGAGTCTAAAAGAAAAATAACCCAGGGAAGGCAAGCTGTAAGTCTCAGCAGTTGACTGAAGACAAGCATGCAAGAGAGAAGGAAAGATGCCATGCCTTTTGAGTTACTGGCAAGGAGGTGCACCACGTGGTAACAGACAGCCACATAGTAGGCAGGTAAGGTGCTTTAGAGAAAGAGTATGGGAACCCAAAGGATCAGCAAAAGCATACTTAGATTCTGAGCATCCAAAAGAAAGACAGAAGAAAAGTTGTATCTTTCCAAGTTAGGGTTCAGATGGGCAGACTGAACTGAACTTCATAGTAGCTTAGCTTATAAGTGTAAACAGAGACTGGGCTTTCATTTCCCACCTACCATGACCCGAATAATCGCACAAAAGCTATATTAATTACAACACTGGCCAATGGCTCAGGCATATTCCTAGCTAGCTCTTATATCTTGAATTAACCCATTTCCATTAATCTGTGTATTGCCACCAGGCTGTGGCTTACTGGCAAGGTTTTGACGTCTTCTTTGGCAGCTGCATGTCATCTTTCCTTCTTTCTTCTTCCATCTCTGCTTGGGTTTCCTGCCCTGCTATAGGCCAAAGCAGCTTCTTTATTAACTAATGGTAATAAAATATATTCACAGCATACAGAGGTGAATCCCACATCATATAAGGACTGTCCATATTTGTTTATTTACTTACTTATTTGCTGTGTGTGTGTGTGTGTGTGTGTGTGTGTGTGTGTATGAGGAGATTGTCAGGCTTGGTAGCAAGTGTTTTTTCTCACAGAGACTGTACCATTTCACTGACCCTGACACAGACTCTTCCTGACATTTCCTCTACTAACTGTGTTTAGGGATTCCTACAATCTCTCCCCAAGTCCCAAGGTCTCTCTCACCAAGACCTTGGTTCTGTCCTTGAACAAAATATCAGTTTTCCCAAAGGGCTTTGCTATACGTTGGTTGCATGTAAAGGTGTTTATGTAAAGTATGAAGACTGTGCTATGATTAGAAGGGTTATAAGCTTGATATGGTAGTGCCTTTAATTCCAGCACTTGGGGTGCAGAGGCAGGTGGATCTCTGTGAGTTCGAGGCCAGCCTGCTCTACGGAGTGAGTTCCAGGACAGCTAGGGCTACACAGAAAAACCCTGCCCTGACAAACCTAATTAATTAATTAAATGGGTTGTTAATAAATTAACGAATAGTTATTAATGAATGATTAAGTGAAGGGTTATGATTCTGCCCTTTGTACCTCCAGTGGGAGAGAGTTTGTTCGCGATGATGGTTTATTCTGTCCTCAAATAGCAGCTTCTGACTTAACTGCTCCCCTACAATCTTTTTGATGGCCCCTGGTCTTCTTTGGTGGCCCCTAGTGAGCTCCAGCCTCTGGGTTTTCTATGACACTTCCAAATGAGAAGAGCCGCTCTTTGTGGCAGGTTCACAGACCTGTGGAGTTCCCAGAACTAGCAGCATTTGCCTCTTAGTTGAAGGCCCTAGTGCCTGGTCTGATGCTTACCATTACCTGCTCCTAGGGTAGATGTGAACACCGACCGGAGGATCAGCGCCAAGGAGATGCAGCACTGGATTATGGAGAAAACAGCAGAGCACTTCCAGGAGGCTGTGAAGGAAAACAAACTACACTTTAGGGCTGTGGACCCCGATGGTGACGGTACAGTGGGCCAAGTGGCAGAGCTAGGGGAAGTGGGTGGAGTCGGCCAGGATACCCCAGCCTTATGGGAAGGACCTGAAGATGTCCCCAGGCCAAGGGACAGAAGAGTCGGAATGCTCAAGGCATGAGTTAGCTTCTGACAGTAGCTGTGTGCTTGTTGAAACCAAAGGGCACAGCAGGTACCACACGGACATAAGTGGTTTCTTTGTGAAATTCTGATGTGTGTGTATTTTTGTGTGGGGGTGGGCACATACGTGCGTATGCCAGTGAAGGCTGAAATGAAATTAGCATTGGGTGTTTTGAGTCCAGAGCTCACTGATTCCATTAGCCTAACTAGCCAGCTTATGCAGGGATTCCCTGTCTCTGCCTCTCTGCTGGGATTATAGATGGACCTCCACATCCACCCAGCTTTTACATAGATGTTAGGATTCAAATTCTGGTCTTCATGCTTACACAGGAAATGCTTTACTTCCCAGCCATCTCCTTAGCTGTGACCCAAGTATTTTAATTTAAAAGTAATGCCGGATCCTAGTTAACAGTCTCAGTGCTCAGGAGACTGAAACAGGAATCTAAGAGTTCAGGGCTAGTCTGGGCTACAGACTGAGACTACTCCTACTCAAGAAGCCAACAAACCCAGTAGTTTTTAAAAGTTTGCGATGCCTCCCTGGTTCTCATGCCATGTGCTGCCTGCCAGTATCTCTCTTGGCCCTGGGGGATAAAAGTATGAGTTGACTCTGCTGGTGAGGAAGTAGATACAGGGTACCGACCGAAGCTGAGAGCTGGATACTGGTTGCTCTGCCCCGAATGCCACCCTGGCAAGATATCTGGAGCTGCATATGTCTTCAGCCTCCCCTAGTACTAGGCAGTGAGCACAGAGGAGTTTGTACCCTCTGCCCTCTGGCTGCCTGTGGCCAAAGGATTTTTAGCAGATGTCCTAAAATAACTTTTTTCATGACCAACTTTCTTTGCCAAGTATATTCACGGGGTGATCTCTTTTTAGGCCGTGTGTCCTGGGATGAATATAAAGTGAAGTTTTTGGCAAGCAAAGGCCACAATGAGAAGGAAATTGCTGACGCCATCAGGAACCATGAGGAGCTCAAAGTGGATGAGGAGAGTAAGTGCTGAATCCTGGGTCACTGCTGGCCTGGGTGGACTGGCTAAGAGTTGGGGGCTGACTCTACCTTGGCTTGAAACTTGGGGTTTGGTGTTTTAAAGTAGAGGTAGGGAGTAAGAGAGACTTTAGTTGAGGGAGCAGCCTTTGTCAAGGCCTTGAGACACCAGAGCTGGGCAGTGACAGCCACAACATTCAGCAGTGCCCTGGGACCTCAAGAGTGACATCACTTCCAGACAGAGATGTGGACAGTCTGGCTTGGAGGGCAGACGTGCTGGTCTTGGGGACATGGAGCAGGACTCAGAGGAAGCTGGGAGTAATAGGAAGCCCTCAGGGACGCTTGTCAGGAAGGGAAGTCTGAATGGCTGGTTTATAACGCATAACTAAAGAACCTTACTTGTTACGGCCTCCAGTCCTGGACCTTTTCCCCTTCACCTCATTTCCTGGTGATTCATTTACAGCCCTTATCTGGCCTGTGGAGGGTAAGGACTTGGTCCTGTTACTCCCAATGCTGCCACTCCTGGGCTGGACACATTATATATAGTTCTTGGTGGATGTACACATTGCACACCTGTGCTCTTCCTCCTCAGTTTGTTTGTGCAGCTGACCTCAATAGCGGCCAGGGGCTACAGAGTAGCTCCTCACGCCTTTCTAGCAGCACAGCTGCTGGAAACCTTTACTGCTGTGATCACATGATCACATACACTGACTACCACGATGACCGGTATTTTAGTTCTGTCCTTTTTTTTCTATTTCTTTCCTCTTCCTTTTTTTTTTAAATTGTTGTTTTGCTTATTTGTTTTTCAAAACAAGGTTTTTTTGTGTATCCATGACTGTCCAGGAACTTGAATTGTAGAAAAGGCTGACCTCAGAGATCTGCCTGCTTCTGCCCAGCATTTTTGTTTTTGTTTTTTGGCAAGATCTCACACCGAAGGTTGGAGCCTTGCACTTAAAGCAGTTTTTCTGCCTTAGTTTCCACAGTACTAGTATTGTTGGTGAGAGGAATTCTACATGGCTAAGTAGAATTTGGGAGAATCCCTCCCAAAGAGATTATCTGATTTTCCTCTCCTTTATTCTGTTTTTTTTTTAAAATATTTATTTATTTATTATGTATACAACATTCTGTCTGTGTATATGCTTGCAGGCCAGAAGAGAGCACCAGACCTCATTACAGATGGTTGTGAGCCACCATGTGGTTGCTGGGAATTGAACTCAGGACCTTTGGAAGAGCAGGCAATGCTCTTAACCTCTGAGCCATCTCTCCAGCCCCCTCCTTTATTCTGTTTTATGTTTCCATTACTTGTCCTTCATTTCATGCTGATTGCTGGAGGTTCTTGAAGGTCCTCGTCCTTTTCTTGTAGTGAGGCTAGTATATGCCTGTCCAGGTTGTTTTGAAGATACCTTTCAGAGCTACAGGGTGTTTGGTACCCTCACCTCTGTGACTTCTTTGGAATGTAGTCTGACTCTGGCCTCTTTGTGTCTATCCTGAGTGAAACATGTCGCCACTCCTGTGTCTCTGAGCTTGATCTACCCTCATGACTTAGTTGGAGGTGTTTAGATCTTACACTATCAAAGATCTCCATGCCTGAGGTCCCTACTCAGCCACATCTGACTCTCTTGAGCCTGTGTATTAGCTACGTTTTTGTTGTGCTAAAACACTACCAAAGGCAACTTAGACTTTATTTGGGCCTATGGTTCCAGAGGGTTAGAGTCCATACCAGCAGCAGGAAGGAAGTATGGTGGCAGGAGCAGGAAGCTGAGAACTCACATCTTAAACTACAAGCGTAAAACAGAGTGAACTGGAAGTAGGCAAGACTCAAAAGCCCACTCCCAGTGATTTACTTCTAGAAAGGCCTCTACTCCTAGACCTTCCCAAACAGTGCCCTCAACTGAGGATTGTAAACCCTAGACTATGGGGGGGGCACTTCTCATTAAAACTACTACCTACCTTATGTATACTTCCCAGCCCCATAGTCTCGTGACCACACCATAAGATTGAGGTTCTGATAAAGAGACAGAACACCAAGACTTCTTCAGGAAAGCAGCTTTGATGTGTATGCATAACAAACTGTGTTCATAAAAAAACCATCACGTACAGGAAAACAGCTTTTTTTATATGATTTTTGTTTCTTTATCTTTCATGTACGGTAACTTACGATTCCGTTGATTATTTAAAAATCTTAAGGTGGTAGGAACTGGAGAGTTGGCTCAGTGCTTAAGAGGGTTTGTTGCTTTTGCAGTGGATCTGGGTTCAATTCCCCACACCCACATGGTGGCTCACAACCACCTGTAACTTTGGTTGCAAGGGAATCTTGATACCCGGGGTACTAGGCACATATGTGGTACACACACATACATGCAGCAAAACATTTATACTCATAAAATCTAAAATAATTAAAAAAAGCTGCTAGGCAGTGGTGGCGCATGCCTTTTGCCCCAACACTTGGAAGGCAAGAAGCAGTTGGATTGCTGAGTTCCTGGACAGTCAGGGCTACACAGAGAAACCCTGTTTTGAAAAACCAAAAACAACAACAACAACAAAAAAGCAATTCTTTTTTTTTTCTTTTTAAGATTTTTTTTATTCATTATATATACAGTGTTCTGTCTGCATGTATGCCTGCAGGCCAGAAGAGGGCACCAGATCTCATTACAGATGGTTGTGAGCCACCATGTGCTTGCTAGGAATTGAACTCAGGACCTCTGGAAGAACAACCAGTGGTCTTTATCTCCTTGCCGTCTCTCCAGCCCTCAGAGTGGGATTCTAAAGATGTCATGGATGTGGAGGAGGTGAGGGATACTGGGAGGATGTTGCAGTGTTTCACAGAAGCATTTTGGCAAAGACTAAACCACAGGGCACCTTTCTATATATCGTTCAAGGTCTCTAGGAAGGCTTACTAAGCAAGGAGGGCCTCTCAAGCTATGGCTGGCCTCAAACTCCCAGAGATCCACCTTCTTCTGCCTCCCTAGGATTAAAAGTGTGCACTTCTGTTCCCCATTGTTAGATTTTGAGGCAGGGTAAAGGGACAGAAGGCAGAAAAGAATCAGGGTCTGACCTTCAGTGGATGATACATGTTTATTAATATGAGAGGCAGCCTTTCTCGTGTGGCAAATCGAGGGGTCTGCCAAAGGAAAAAGCTGGCTGTAACTCTTTATACGGATGGGTTGAGGGTGTTGGGGACTATGGGTCTGAACTCCTTCCTGAAATTATGTACCCAGTGAGACAGATGGTCTTGGGAGATAGGCTGTCCCAGCACACATTCTCTTCTGGGCTGACTGAACAAGATCAGCTGAAATGTCACAGGAATCCTGTTTTTTACAAGCAAGGTGCTCTTATCACCCATAGGGAACTGCATAAAAGTCCAAAATCTCTTCTGAGACACAAGGCAATCTGTTGATTGTAATGCCTTGTAAAATTGATAAAAAGCAAATTATATACTTCTAACATCTAATGGTACGGAATATACATTACTATTCCAAAAGTCAGGAGAGGGGGCATAGTGAAAAATACTGAACCAAAGTAAAACTGAAATCCTGCAGGGCAGATACCAAATCTTATAACTCCATGTCCAGTATCAAAGGGTTTAGATAATGCTGTCCCTCCTGCTTTCCTGCCTGCAGCATACATGTTTCTCTTGGGTTGGTGTAACTGCTTGTATGCAACTCTCCTTGGCAGACACCCCACAGGTCTGGCATTGTCAACATCTTGGGGTGTCTACTACAACCCAGGTTTCACTTTTACATTTCACTCAGTGGCCTCTCGGCCTTCATGCAAGGACCTCCCTGCCGTAAGCTGCCTGGCCTCAGCAACTTTCTGCGAGTATAGAGGAAAACTCCATCACTTCTTCACTCTTGGACTCTTATGTTTCTAAAGTACCACGTGGTTAACACTGCAAAGTTCAGCTGCCAGCCTGGAATGATTCCCCCTTGAACCGCATTAGTAATAGTTTTCATTTTCTCTTTCTAGGAGCAGAAAGTTCCTTAGGCCTTTTCCCTTTATTAACTTAGCTGAGTGGGGTTTTCCCACTACGGACACCAGTCCCTTTGTTCCAGTGCAGATTAGGCCTCTCTTTAATGACACTAGTCTCTTTAACAAGTTACAAGCTCTTCCAGTATATGTCTTGGCTGTGACATTAAGTTTCTTAGTTCTCTCTCTTCTTCTCCAAACTACATTTTATATTTCTTCCCCATTTGTTCTTTTTCATTGTAGACTTGTATAGTAACTACACCACAGATTCAATATTTTCCTGTCTTAATATCTCCACCAAGCTGGGCAATGGTGACACACATCTTTAATCACAGCACTTAGGAGACAGGCAGGAAGAGCTCTGTGAGTTTGAAGCCAGCCTGGTCTACAAAGTGATTTCCAGGACAGCCAGAGCTGTTACACAAAGAAATCCTTTCTTGAAAAAATAAAGCAAACAAAAAACTCTATGAAAACTAATTAGTCCATTACTTTTTTTTTTAATGTATGAGTGTTTTGCCTGCATATATGTATATGCACCTGTGCATTCTTGGTGCTCAAGAGAGCTAGAAGAGGAGTTGCAGGCAGTTGTGAGCTGCCATATTGTGAATGGAGCCTTCCTGTCCTGACTGCCTAGTCCCATGACTGACTCAGAGATTGAATATATGAATATAAATACTCGGCCAGTGGCTCAGGCTTATTATGAACTAGCTCTTACATTTAAATTATACTGTTTCTGTTTACCTGTGTATTGCTACATGGCTTATGGTTTTACCTGTCCTCTAGCATCTTGCTTCCCTGGCAGCTGGTTGGCATCTCTCTGACTCTTCCCTTCTTTTCTCCAACATTTTCAGTTTGGCTTTTCTCTCTCTTTTTTTTTTTTTTTCTTTTTTTCTTTTTTCTTTTTGGTTTTTTGAGACAGGGTTTCTCTGTAGCTTTGGAGCCTGTCCTGGAACTCCCTTTGTTGACCAGGCTGGCCTCAAACTCACAGAGATCCGCCTGCCTCTGCCTCCCGAGTGCTGGGATTACAGGCGTGCGCCAC